ACTGTGGGCTGAAACCCAGATTCCTCCATCCAAAAAAACACTTCTCTGAAGTGTTTTTTTAAACCCCAAATGCAACTGTCCTTCAGGAGTTAGATTTATTACTGAGATTAGCAGTATAGGAAGTACTGAAATCTAGAGAAATGAAAGCCAAGTATCCATGGACAGATTATTTTCTAAGAAACAATAAACTCTCCTTGACCTTTCCTGACAACTCACATTTTCTACTGAAGAATTATTAGTGTTATAAAATCTGGTTTTGCAGTTTGAGGCTATTTCAACCTACTGAAATCTCTTGTTAGGCTGAGGAACAGGTATGTTCTGTGGCAAGGAACAAAGGTTAGACTATCTGGAGAGAAGGAAATGAGACGCAAGTGAACAGGAAGTTCTTGGGCCAGAAGCAGTGTGGGATATGGTCAAATAAGGTGTAACAGCACTGCCAGTGTGTTTTGAGGTAAGACATTCTCTACTAATAGAGGTTAAGAAAACACCCCACTGACATTGTGATTATGAACATCTGTCTATATTTACAGTAGGCTTAGCTCAAGTTGGAAAATGTCAAAGGAAGGAAATATAATAAAGTCTAATTATATTTTCATTTTACTTTCATCATCAAATGTAATGGAACCCAAAACCCATGCTGCTTTTTGTGGTACAAGCCTCTTGCTATGGAAAGCACAAAGCCAACAGAGACAGAGCACTTAGGCTTGCCCATTCTGAAAATACATCAGACGAGATGGATGTTTTTCTGTGGAGCATGCTCAATTTGAAAATTCCAGCCTATCTTGCAAAACTTAGATTTGCTCCAATATATAGGCATCCTACAACATTGCTGATCACAGGGTTAAACTAAAGAGGTCAATTGGAGAGATCTTAAGCAAAGAGTCCTAGAAATGGTGATATGGTGCATGGCTTGGAGTAGAGAAAGAAAACTAAAGTGATACCTTTCTTTAAAAAGTCCAGAATTGTATTTCTTTTAATACTTTAAAAGACATAATTATAAGGAACAGGTGTTCCTCTCTTAACTATTTGACAATTCTTATTTCATGCTATGGACTGAATATTGTGTTCCCTTGTTAAAACTTTCCAATGTGAAGGTATTAGAAGTTGAAACTTTGAAAGGTGATTAGTTCATGAGGGTAGACCATGCCCAAATGTAATTAATGCCATTAAGGGCTGTACAGACAGAATTTTCCTTTGATACCATATAAGGATATAGCAAAAAGCCACCTTCTCTGAACGAGGAAACAGGCCTTTATCATATACTGACTCTCCCAGTAACTTGATCTCAAGACTTCTTAACCAATAGAACTGTGAGAAATAAATTTCTGTTGCTTATCATGCGTCAAGAAATAAGTTTCTATTGTTCCAGTAACCCAAATGGACTAAGCCCAGTTTCTGGTTGTCACATGAGTCTTCTGTTCACTCATTAATTATGTTTGGGCAGCTATCATGCAAGTCCTATTCTAAGTGTAGGGAATGCAGTTTAGTAAGTAGGCCCTCCTTCTCATGGAACTTTCATTCTAGAAATGGGGAAACAATTAACCAGTAAACAAGTTAAGTAAGAAATTATCCAGGATAAAAGCGATGACAAAAATGCATGTAAGACAGAGCAAAGAGGGTGATAACAGCCTGGGTGGGTAGTAAAGATCTCTTGAAGGAGGTGACACTCAACATGAGACCAAAATCATCAGAGAAAGAGCCATTCATGTGAAACTCTGGTGGGGAGTGTTCCAGGTAAATAGACATCATTAAAGAAGAACTTCAAGTCTAGACATTGCAAATGGATAGGTAGTCTTGTGCCTGGGAACATAGATGGAGAAAATTTTACACTTGGCAATATATCTCATCATGTCACTTTGGTTGAAAAAGATCATTTTTTTTTAATGGTTCCATCAGTGGCATGTAGAAATGATGGACTTCTCCAATAATCCAGAAATAAATTTAACCTATTCCCACTTTTTCTGTAGGAAAGTTAAGATCACAGATACTAAAGTTAAAATGATCAAGTTCCAATCCACACCTAGCATTTGTCAACCCCTCTTAAACTGTGCAGTTTTAACAAGAGATCAATAAGGAAATAGGAACAGAATTTTAAAATACTTCTCTATACCTAGCATCCTAGAGACTATGTCTTGAAGTACTTGTTTGATATTTAAACCAATGATTCATTTTAAGAAATAATTAGGAAAACTAACACTTAGAATGATTAGAGTTGAGCTCCTTCATGTCTTGAAAGGTATTAGATGTTTGGATCTATGTGAATGTGAGAAATCTTTCCATTAAAAGCAGCCAATTATCAGGACGAATACTGCTAGGGATACAATCTCTTTTGCTGTTCTTGGGTAGAAGATCAATGCAGACAAGTATAACTTAGCGAAGCTGAAGGAAGCACTTTGCATATCCTAGTACAAGGTGGCAAATCCATGACAGTTAATCGACAGCCAAACATCTATGGACACCACTGAAGACTCAGTAAGCCTTAAAACTGAAGCATGACTACAAGCTACACTCTATACACTGCATTAATAATGTAGATCTCATTGACTTGAAGACAATCTTACTTCCCCAAAGAGCCTGACTTTGTCTAGCAAAACAACAGACTGCTCTGATTCTGCTGCTTACTGAACGTCTTTGTGAATTAGGTTTTTCAGCCACTGTTATTTCAAGAAGAAAAAATGAGTTAATTGATTCGGGTCTACCCTTGTCTTCTCTGTAGGAAAGTTAAGATCACAGATACTAAAGTTAAAAATGGTCAAGTTCAAATCCACACCTAGCATTTTCCAGCTATGTAAGCATGAAATATTCTCAAGAGCCTGAATTTCCCCCACTTGCAAGATAGAACATAATATCAACTATGTGAAATTTTTAGCACAATGCTTAGAATATAGAAAAAAATTTTGATATTATAGGTCTTTTAATGATTAAATGCATAAATAGCATGCATATCATCATATTAGTGTTGGTCCCCTATGGTCAAATAACAGTAACTTCTCATTGAAATTTACTTAGGATTTTTTTCTATTTTTTCACTAAGAAGCTATCACTTTCTAATGAAAAATAAAAATGAGGCATAATTTATACATCTGCTTATGTTAACAAAATTAATTTTGACTGCAATAAAATTACCTTATCCAAAATTTAACATGTATGCTTGTATACATTTTTTCTGAATAAGACAATCATAGTTTTCATGAATTTCCCAGAGATATTCATGACTTTTATCCCCCTAAAAAAATAAAAAACAATATATTTCTATACCTAAGTAGAGGAACCAAAAGAAGAACATCCAACAATTATAAGAGATGAGATGGTGGGATGGGATGGGATGGGATGGAATGGAATGTAATAGGATGGGATAGGATGGGATGGAATAGGATGAGATGGGATGGAAAGAGGAGTAATAGACTGAAGGAAGTGAGTGGGAAAAAATGAAGTGGAATGGAACGAACACACTATGAATAAATAAAATGGACAAAGCAAACAACTACAGCAAATAGTACCAGTCTCCATCCTTTTCTTTAAACAAAAGTGATGACCCTCCCCTTTTCCATTGGGCTTAATAAAAAATTGAGGGATGTCCTCATATAAAGATTTAATTGGAAAATTCACAACAATGGAAAATTTAGTCTTTTATAAGGCGCCAGTATGCTTCTGCTGTTAGAAATGGAACATTTGTTACTCTATTCTTCCTTTGGGGTCTTAATCTTATTTTGTATTTATTTTAAGCAGCTCCCCCTGAGTCTTTGGATTTCATTTAATCTATCCCCCTCCCTGTCATTCTTCATGTTGTTTTTGCACTTTGGTCTTTGTTTTATTAGTTCCATTATAACTGTGTCCTTTTAAAATCACCTCAATTTTTCCCTTTAAAACTAGATGTTATAAATAAAGGAAAAGAAGATTTCTTAAATATTTACCCTTTAAATGAAGCTCATTGATTCAGCAAGCTTACCAGGGAGAAACATCTCTAGTTCACAATTTTTTAAAACCTGAAATAAACTATTTTACAAAACTTAAGCAAACAAAAGTACATTTTCCCCAAGTTTAAATATTATGTATTTCTTATCAATTCTTTTCCTAGTTCTCTAAATGATACTAATACAGTATTCTCCAAATATTATTCCCTAGGGCCAGAGGACTGCAGCCCATGTATTTGACCCCTTCTGTTCTCACTGGGGACCTTTGCAGTCATACACTATGCTCCTACAGCAGTCTGCTCAGAGGGCAGATGGCCTCTCTTCCTGCCTCTCCAGAATGGCATTAGTTGCCCCTATTTACTCAGTTTCATTAGAAATGTTCTCTATTTTTGAAAAAAAGCAGTGTTCCATGTATCTAACTTTGAACCCCCTTTTTGGAGAACCTCCACCACCCAAGGGCACAGCATAGAGATTGTTGTGAGCTCAGAGGGCTCTCCTTAATGCCATCGTCTCCCACACTCCTGCCCCTCCTAATGCCATTTCACACATTAGCAATGTACACACCAGGAGACTAATAACTACATGTTGAATAACCAGGAAAATCATTTTAACATCTTAATTTTTAGTTGTTTTCTAACTACAAAAAGAGGAAAGAGGAAAGCCTGTATGCAAACTCTGAGGTCATTTTACTGACAACTCTATTGTTTATTTCTAAACATCCTTGTTGAAATGAAATTCTATTCTGCCCATGTTTGATTGGCTGTGCGTACCCATAACTATTTACCTTAATTGTGTAGAATTAAACAAATCCAAATGTATTACTAATGACTTTAATTATTACTCTTTAAGTCAGTCGGGAGTTAAAAGAACATAAAAACTCAACTATGCCATTCTTCATGCTGCCTATTCACACACCATGTGTATTTATACATACACAGCTGCCTGCTAGCCGTCGCTGACTCTTATATTTCATAATGGCAATGTGGTGGGCAGCCTTAGCCTGGACAAGCTACTCTCCAGCATTGTTATGTCAGGTGGCATATGTCAGGGACAGAGACTCATGCCTTCTCTCTCTCAAAGTAAAACAAAACAGGGTGACATTACCTCTCTGGATCCTTATCACTGTCCTCCAGATGCCCAGTCCCAAAATGATGGCCGTCAGCAGCCCACATGCAACGGCTACCAGCACCCTGAGGTCACAGGGGCGGCAGCGAGCCATGGTAAAGGCACAGATCTACTCCTTGCTGAAAAGCAACTAACGTGTCTTCTCCTTGAACCAAGAACTTTAATAAGAAATTGTCCTAAAATATAAAGATGATTCGTCCTTTCAGTGATGGATCAGGAAGGTGTTTTTTCGATTTTTAGGAGTTTTGAGGTTAATCCAGAATGCAGTTCAAATCACCTAATAAAAGGTGCATATTCCACTTGCATTGTCCTCAACCTTCACTGAAGGAGAA